GAGACTGTGGGGAACCGCGCTCCGCCCCACCACCCGTGGTCCGGGCCCCGCCAGCTCAGCTGTGCCCCACGCCGCTTGGCTTACGGGGGATGCGGGCTGCGGGGCACGCCAGGCGCGCATCAAAGGCGTTTCGCGCCGTAGCAGTACTGCCCCACCGGCGCTGCCCCGCACTAGCTGTTAGCCGTTTCTGTTACGGATGCTTCAAGATATAGCAACCACATACTATAGCTCATCTACATGGACAGCCGAGAGTGGCGATGCACCCAGCTCTTCTCAAATAAATCCAAATTTTTTTTTTTTTTCAGTAGCCCTTTTCACTCTCTGACTTGCCGGCCAACACTCATACCCCTTACAAAGTGTGGCAGTTAACTACAGCTCCAAATGTTCTCAGTGTTCGTATCAGTATCCCACTTTTCCGCCATACTGCAATGGTCTCATCCTCAGCAGTTTCCCAAAGAAATCAATTTCAAACCATAGTTAGGGCACGTAACAAAAAGTATTTCCTCTTATACGTTTGGAATTTTCAACTCAGTTGCTATCCTTTTGGTTAGATATTATTTTATTGCATCAAATTGTTTTATTGCATCAAATGGTTTTATCGCATCCCATTTTACTGCAATCTCTCTCTCTAAGATTTTCCTCAGCCCTTAAACACCTTCTCTACCCTTCTGATCCTACATCTGTGGGAATTGTTTAATGAGGTGATCAGTAAGCACAAGTCATTCCAAATAAAGTTTTACCGCTAACGTAAATTACAAAAAAAAACCCATTTCAACATACTTTTTTACGCCATGCTTCATCATGTTCCTCCTGTATTGATAAGAGCTGATTTTACAAAGGCGGTCTTCCACTTTTCACAGATCATGCCAAAGCGCACATACTGAATTTAGAAGAGCTAAAAAGAAAAAAAAATAAAAATTGTAACTTAGGTGTTTTTCATTCCAGCCTGGATTGTCTACATTTATCAGAGCTGAATGTTGTTTGTCAATCCACTCCACCTGCTCAGATCTCTTTAAACTTCTCACAGTCCTATTTTGGTCTCCACCAACAAATAACTTTCTCTCTTTTTTTTATGTAAATGTACCTTTTCTGAAAGGTATGCATTTCATAGGATCCACTGGAATGCAGGGCTGTCTGAAATACATGCCATCTTCTTAAGCAGAGAGAATCATGGAAATTTGGCTATTTTTAATCACTCTTCTGTGTAAACTCTGGAAAAACAGTAATTCAGTAGAGGCACACGAAATCCATATGCCCAACACTTTTTCTGTTTTATCAAATCAAAGTCGCACATTTTATTACAAGTCAACTAGAGCAATTTTATTAAAACTCCTCCTGTTCCTGTAACTACAGGATCCTTAGCCATGTCTATTTCCTCTCAGAATCCCTCCCTCTCCTGAAATGCCAGCCTTCTGTAGTTTTACTTGCAATACACCAAGCTCTTTGGCAGGATTTTTTTGGCCTTATGTGTGAGCCAATGTCTTTTATGAGACAATGATTGCTATCAAAGGTGCAGTTTTCAGAACTGAAACTGGCCTGGAGTGAACTCCAGTTTCTCTGGTAAGATACAAAGTTTGCTCCAGCTTTGTGTACTGTGTTTAATTATTAATGTCTAATTGACACAGCAGTATTAACAGAAATCACCAAGATTCACTTGCTGGCTGATAAAAAAAAAGGATACTTTGTTTATCGAAACATGTTGTCAAAGACCAACAGGAATATTACTTGATGAATCAAGCCTGCTGTTAAATTTCATGATCACAGTCAGAAGGCTGGAACATCTCTCCTATGAGGACAGGCTGAGAGAGTTGAGGTTGTTCAGTCTGGAGAAGAGAAGGCTCTGGGGTGACCTTCTAGCGGCCTCCTAGTGCCTAAAAGGGACCTACAGGAAAGCTGGGGAGAGACCTTTTACAAGGGCATGTAGTGACAGGATGAGGGGGAATGGCTTCAAACTGGAAGGCGGCAGATTTAGATTATGTATCAGGAAGAAATTTTTCACTATGAGGGTGGTGAGGCACTGGAACAGGTTGCCCAGAGAGGTGGTAGATGCCCCATCCCTGGAAATATTCAAGGCCAGGGTGGATGTGGCTTTGAGCAACCTGGTCTAGTGGAAGGTGTTCCTGCCCATGGCAGTGGGTTGGAACTAGATTATCTTTAAGGTGTCATCCAACCCAAACCATTCTATGATTCACCCTGGGGAAAATTATCTACTCTGAAACCACAGTTGGTACATACAACTGTAAAACTTGTTCTATCATGCTTTTTGGGCCTTCATCCAAATGCCTTTCTGATTCATTTGCTCTAGAAAATATTGACCTTTGAAATCTCAAATATTTTAGTATCACATCAGTTCCCCATATACTGAAGTGTTTCTAGTGGAGTCACTGGCTTTGCCTTTATCACAAACAAATCATCCTGGTGCTGTGGCATTGCGGCTTGCTTTGCCCCCAGGTGACTGCAGGAGGAGGCGCTCCAGAAGGCAACAGCAGAGCTGGAAAAGGCGCTCCTGCGCCTGCATGTCAAATTGAACCGCATCTCTTGCGTGCGTGTCCTCCTCCGTGCAGATCCTTTTTCACCATCGCCTGTTCAATGAATGGTCCGGAGCACAAACCTACGGGCTTCGGCACCTTTGGGCGCCAGGCAGCGACACCGTGAAGAGAACTTCCCGCGGGAAGTTTCCTAAAGGCGGTAACAGGCTTCGCCAGCCCCGGCAGCCGCCAACACCACAGCGGCAAGGCAGCGAGCCCCAGCCAGGCGGGCGGAGGGAAAGCTGCGGGGGCCGCCCCGCAGCCGTTCCCCGGTGGAAACGCCGCGGGGGAAAAACCCTTTCACGGTGAAGTTGTCCCCTGGCGGCATTCTAACAAGTATTTCCCCAATCAGCCGCCGTCTCTCGGATACCTCACCCCGGAAAGCGCTCCTGCACAGCGAGAGCAACCCCACCCCACGGCCG